ATATATATATATATTAACTTATATTATATTTTCAATATTAGTAATTTTGTGATCTTTCTTTAGAAAGCTTTCTTTGCCCCTATATATACAGCCAAATGCTTCATGCTTGGTATAAGAGAATTTCTATGTTGTTTCTTTTTTTCTAAATGGTATCAACACATTTCTCCTCCGATTTCATCCCTTTCATATGACAAAATTACAAAATGGCTGCTTAAACGCAAACATCTCCATCTAATTCTGGGGTTGGCGTTTTTTGAACAAATGGAGGAACCAAAAGCAAGCTCATGTTATCACTTGTCATAAATTGAATGGAAACGACTATCTTCAGTGGTTATAATCCAATGATGATGTTTATCTGTTGAATGTTGGGGTGTCAAATCGGGTATCGGGTCGGGTGTCAAATGGGGTTTGGGCTTGACCCGGCCCGCTTTCCACCCGTCGCGCAAATCCAACATGTATAATTTTTTTAAAAATAAGGCATAACATCTATTAATGTCAAATTCAGGTTGAATTCATGTCAATCCCGGGTAAATTTCCCGATTAACGAGTTGATTTTGAGTCAATTTTAGTTTGGCAAGTCGGATTGTCAATTTCTGGTTGGTGGGTCAATCCAAACCCAATCTAAGAGAATTAAATGGGTTAGTATTCCTAACCCGAAAATTATTTGAGACAACTTGAATTTGGATTTTTTAAGTCAGGCTCGGGTCGAGTTGACGTGTTAGGTCAATTTTTGACACATCCAGTGGAAGGGTCAATGATGATTATTGCAATGGATCCATGAAAACACTAGATGTAAGGAGAGTATTAGTACAAAATTCATACTATTTAAGATGATTTTCTACATAAATTTGGGAAAAGTAAGAATCGAAACAGCACACTCAAATGCATAAAAGATAAGTACCTATAAATCAAGAGGCAGACAATCACTCCCAAATCCTAACCCTAGCACCTACAATTCAAGAGGAAAGTTATCTCTTCCAAACCCAAATCATAAGACTCTAGACAACTGTCTCATAACCTTACTGCTAAACATATTAGCCCTATTTATACCACATAATAATAATTAATAAAAAACTAAATTGCCCATAAGCGCTGATGTAACATTACTCTTCCCAAAAAGATACATTGTTTTCAAGGTGGGAAAAAATTAAACTGCTGTTGGATCAAGTTATGTGTCTCTCAATCATAAACTGACTTGTCTTGTTGTCGCAGTCAGGACTTAATTGAAATAAGTGATGAGTCGTCACACCGTAGGAGGCCGATGCCTGATACATAGCCTGAAACATCCATCTCTACAACGAAAATTTGGCTGAATTTTGGTAATGCTCGCACTGGTGCCCTATTCATGGTATTCTTTAACTTCTCAAAAGTCCGAGTGAAAGTTATCCTTCTTCAGTTTCTCCATCAATGACCACACAATCGAATTATAACACTTTACGAACTTTCGGTAGTATCCTATAACTCCTAAAAATCCTCTCAACCTCTTCAAGGTCTTAGGTAGTGGCCACTCCAATATAATTATCGCCTATGATGGATCTGCCGACCCCAAGGTCTTGCACATACTAGGGTCTCCGCAAAGCAAACTCTTCTTGTCTCCATCCTGAATACTGTGCTTCGTCAAAATTAGTCCTTTACAAAATCTCCCACTCTTACTTATCTATCTAATTCCCATCATTACTTCTGAATCGCCTTTCGCCCGAAAGACTGTTGTAGCAAAAGGCACTGGCACGGTTGGATGTAGCCCTCTATCGGTGTCCCGCCAACCTTGGTTTTCTATTCTAGGCCAAAATCCTTTAAATCGATCTTGTCCAGCCCCAAAGTACGCGCCATCCCGTTTTTCTTGTTGTCGCTCATTCCAAGCCTTCAGATGTCATCCACTTTCTTCCGGATGATGCTGCTCGAATCCGCTTCCAACTCCTTTACTCGATCCTGCTTGCTTCTTTTTGTTCCAACCTTCTGAATGTTGTGCTATTTCTTCTAAGTGTTGCTGCTCACATTCTTATCCTACATTGTTGTTTGATTTTATGACAGGTGATTTTGTGTGAAATTGCACGTTCTTCTTCATCATTTCTTCCAGGGTCGCGAACCTCCCCTCCATAGACTAGAGTCGTCCCTCGATGGACGAGAAACACTCCATTTTCGATCTGATTTGACTCACTTCCCTCTAATTTCTCCTTCAAAGCCTCTTTTTTTGACATTACTCCCAAGATTTTTTTTAATCAAGAAAATGAAACTCTTGTGCGTCTATGTGCCACGATTCACTTGGCTTCTTAACAGCACTAACTAGAAGCACAACATTTTTTTTTGCATGGTTCAGTCGCAATACTACTCGATCGTGACTTGTTTGTGTGGTGCCTTTAGTCCAGTCGGCTTTCCAACTACTCAAATCGCTACTCTTCTTTTTTGTCTGAGACGCTTGCATGCCTTGATCCCATTGGCTTCCAGCTAGCTCAAGTCGCGGTTGTTGCGTGACCTGAATGCTGTGATCTTGGGTTGTTTCACGACATGGCACGCCGCGATCTTGATGTTGCTAGATTGATCGCAACTGCATCGCTATATTCGGTCACAAGGGCGGCACCAACGATCTTATGGCGTAATTCTTTCGTTGGCAAGTCTCCACCGAGAAAGATTTATAGCGGAGCATCTCTAATACCAATTTGATACAAACCAAGATTTTTCAGAGAATATATGTATATTTATATATATGTCTGTATGTATTTATATTTATATATATATATTTTATTTCAATAACCCAAACAACACACTCAAAGGCATACAAGATAAGTACCTACAATTTGAGATGTAGGCGATCTTTCCCAAACCCTAATACTAGCCAATATCTACAATTTGAGAGGTGGACAATTTCTTCCAAACTCAAACCTTAAGACTCAAGACAACAATCTTATCATAATCGTATTCCTAAATATGTTAGCCCTATTTATACCCCATAATAATAATAAATAAAATACTAAATTTCTCTTAGGCGCCGGTTTAATGAATACATAGGAATAACAAAACGAATGGTTATGTATTGTTTCAATAACTCCATGACTAATGAGATAGGAAGCATTTCTTGCTCTATTGTGCAACTAATGAGATATGGGATGTTCTTAAGGAATCCTATTTCCTGCATGAACTATCACAAAGAGATCTCTCCATGACTTAGCACTTCAATCATCAATGACAACAAATTGATCTTTTTAAAATACGGGATTTTGTGTCCCGTTGATGAGATTGTGTAAATAATAATTGAGAAAAAGGAATGTTCAATTTATTAATGGGATTAAATAATGAATTGGATGAAATTTATGGACGCAGTTTAGGCAGCAAACTCTTAATTGATATTAGTAAAGCTCTCTTTGAATTTTGTCTTGAGGAAAGTCTTAGAAATATACTGATGGGAGCATCAAAACTCCATATCAACCAGTGAAGGATATGCTCTCCGTTCATGAAGTTCGACTAACTAAAAAAAGGCCATGTTTTGATCATCGTCTCAAATCAGGTCACATCAAAGAAACCTATTGGAAAATCCATGTAAAATAATTCATGAAAAATCCACTAATTGGAAAACCACTCATTTTCTTAGAGAGTCATGGACAAATTGCTTCTACCTCCATTGACAGCCTCACATCTTTAAGTCAAAATCAATTCAGTGAAGAAAATAAACTTTCTTCAAAAATTATTTTCTCAAAATAGGAAAGTACCTATCGATAGAGTTATTGATACACACTCATTGGCGCAAACATTTAATTCATAACTATTCTTATTGTAATTAAACAAGGCCTATGGATTTCTGATTTATGTAGCATTGTGGTTCATTTTCCCTATGAAATAGAATATGTAGTTTGTAAAATCCAAAAAATGGAGGGTAGCACTGTAGTTCATTTGCCTCTGCACCTTTGACTTTCTTCTTATGAGGGTTGAAAACCAATTTATTAAGATACTTCACCTACTTATTTGTCTTGGGATGATGCACAAAGAAGATATGAACATTTATTTTTGATAGATTTTTGTGACTTATTGTTTTTTTGGTCCATTGTTAGTGATGATAGTCATTGGAAGCCAACAGCAACATATGTTGCCGTTCTAAATGAATTCACAAATAACTATAAAAGTTGGTTTTGTGTGTGCTCTGTCTTCAATCTACTTTTTAAAATAATTGATCATTACTGTGATTAATCACCTTTTGTCATCTGGTAGAGAGAGAAGTCTGAGTTGGTTCATTACCCAACAATAAATAACTAAGAACTAGTGATCAATTGAAGCTTATTAGAATGTTGTAAGTTCAAAGTAGAATACTTTTGGCATGGAATGCACTTTCTTGAGGATTCTTCTAAGTCATTTTTTAAAATCAGCCTGAATTAGCCATGCAGTTGTCTTAAACGGATAAATATTGTTCCTCTTGGGTGATTACCACAATCCCGCGAAATATATTCTTTTAAGATGTCGACAATCTTGGTCTTTTGTGCACATCGGAGATTAGTAGTAGATAGTGATCTCCTAAAGAAGAGTTGTCCATCGATCAACCTATATTGTGTCATTTTGATTTTAAATCTTTTTTGATATATGATTTGTGTTAGCAATTAACTTGTTACGAAGCATTTGACATAGGGATCAATCCAACTCTTAATAACATCAACTTTTATAGTTTTAGATTCTTCGATGCTACTGTTTCCGTTCATTTTTTTCT